CATTTTACCTTTCGTCTCAGTAAACCCCTTTCTAAATATCATGCTCGTTGTAGCAGCAGCATACATGAAGGCGCTCGTGCATGGCATGTCTGGTAGATGGTTGCTGGAAGATAGCCAACCGACTTTTGACCGCCTACCTAATTTGTCATGCTACGTCAGAAATATTATCCTTTGCATCCTTTGTAAGCTCCATAACAATGTGATAGGAGACAACTTCACCACTTATATGTATCCAGAGGAGCACTACACTATGGAAATAAAGGAAAATGACATAAAGTTAATGAAATAAAATTTACAAAAACATAGTAGTTGTATATAACCTAAAAAATTTCATAAATAACACCATAAGCAGCATTTGCACGCGAAAGCATACATTTGACATATACTCATTGATTTGTACAAAAGTATTACAACCTAACGATGAAAGATGAACACTCAATATTAGCACAAAAAAAATTTCAAAAAAACATTTCAGTAAAGATAAACCATCTTATTCTTACATACCTTTGATGAAGATGCATTCTTAAAGTTGTAAATCTGTAATCCAAGGAACAAAAAGAAAAGAAAAAACGAAAAAATGGTTAAGTTCATATCAATAATAAAATAATTAAGGAGAAGGGCCACCAAGGGGACCAAGGGGCACCAGATGTAAAATACCTTTTTGTCAAGAAGGTAAAGCTTCTCTTATGGATATTGTTAGACTGTTGCACGACATGTAGAGAGCAACTCAATTTTTATTTTCTTTTTAACTAAAATTCAAATCTTGTTAAGGAGTTTGCTGAACTCGTCACTCTAAGTTTTGAATTTGTTCAAAGATATCAAAAATACTTCAACTTATATCAAGCAGGACTCATAAATGAAAATAACACAACACTATAACCTTTAGTGATGGCTAAGAAAGAGTGAAAATTACCACCAGTGACGGTGACCCACATCACTTTCGTCTCATGATCAGCTGCATGATCCTCATTCTCTGCCATCCAATCTTTCTCATCTCGAAATCCTATATATATCTTGATAAACATAAAATCAACTCATTCTTATATCCAATCTTGTTATTATTTCAACAATTTTGAAATAATTATAAAAGTATATTAAAAAATTATGTGGCTCTCTATATGATGACGCTTGATAAAAAAAAGTTACATCAATAGAGAAAATTAGAAAAGAATTTAGAGGAAAGAAAATGATTCTTCAAAAACATGTTGCAAAACTCGCCATGGCCGCCATTTGATAACACTACCTCTAGTCTTAAGTTTCACTCATACACTTGTCCAGAGTTGAGCTTCAAAACTTTCTTAAATCTTCTCAACACTATTGTCGGTGATCAAACGACCACACTCTAATTGTTTGCTATCCATGGTTTATATACCAAAGAGAAATCTAATTACATAATGTTTTAGTTTATCCATCTTCAAGAGCAAATATATTAAGAAAATTAAATATGTTTACAATTAGGAACAAAAACAACAAACTTCAAATTCATTTTAAATTTGAAATTCTGTAAAACACAAAAAGAAATAGAAAATTATGTCTAACTCATTGCATGATTTAATTTTTTACCCAAATACAATTTCACTGTATATTTATTGTTAATTATTTTCAAATTTTGCGGGAAGAAAAATGATTGTACAATGGAAGCAAACCAAATATGCATGTTGGGTGTCATCTAAAATTGTTTAAAGAGCTTTTCAAACTATATTTTATGATTACTTTACTAAATTTTCATATTGCTGCTTAAATATCAATCTAATCTTAAGAAAAACATCCAAAAAATTAAAGAAGATAAAAATAAAGAAACAAATATTGATATAATTGAATGATAGAAGAACAAATGAAGTTCATGTATCTACATCACTATATACTTTCCAAGAAAATGAGTAATGCATTCTTGTAAGAGAAATTCAATGGCAAATTCTTGAAGAATAAACACAAGTCAACCTCATTTTATCATCATCATGAAGCCATCACAAAGTCAAAGAACACGGTATTTACATAGCATATAATATTTCCCCTCAATTACCTGAAAGAGAAGTAAGGCCTCTTAAGCTCAACAACCAGTCTCTCGAGGTTCTTGTAGTAAGGGTTACCAG